GTGCCTCGCCTACCCCATGGCGGCGAATATGGCGGGAAGCGGCGCTCAGGAGCGAGTACGAGTGTCGGCGATACAAGTAAGGGATAAAAGGCGCGCGTGCGCCATCGTCGGAGGGTTACCGTGTCGCCGTACGCGGAGGAGTAGTATGAGTGAGTATCGATCGGGCGTGACGTCACCCCACCCCCTCCCTCTACGTGCCCTCTCCCCTGCCCCCTCCGCTCTCTTTCCTCCCTAACTCGTACTCTATCTCCGCACTCCTCACTCGGTCTGTCCCTCTTCACCCTTTTTCGCCTCCTTCCTACGCGCTCGAGCACTCCTACTACCTCGCAACGTACCTCCAACTCCAACGTGGCGCTCCTCCACTGTCCTCAACCCCTTCGCCCTCCCACCCCTCCTGCGTGCCCACTCGATTTCTCTCTGTCGCACTCACCGCTTCTTTCCACGTCATCCTCTTCTCTCATTATCCTGAACCTTCCTGTCTACGTTGTCCTTCTGGACCTCTATCTTCGCCTCTTTCCTCTCATCGTTCTACCTCCGAGAACGGCGCTTCCTGATTCTTCGTTATTCGCGGTTTCTCCCATCCCCCTTTCCTATAATATTTCCGTAATATTTTGGCAATCTCGTTCACACCTTTTTGCTCAGACTGAATTACGCGCGATCATCCCTTACCAACTTATCTCGTCCCGTTTTCCTCTTAGGACACTCTTTGGAGCGGACGATCGTCAACCGTTCGTGTAGTTCTACTGTGTTTAAGCCTCTTTTCTCTCTCCTTCTCGCCTTCCATCCATGTTACTTATCTTCGCGTTTTTCTCGCATTTTTCTTAACTGTGCGCGCAAATCGTCGCTGTCTTTGTGTCCCTTAAGCCTTAAGCGGCGCTTTTCATGCTTCTCTCGCCTCGCGTATGTCTTCTTATTCTTTTCTTTTTTTTTTTCTTCGCGATGCGCTCTCGTATCCTCTCCTTCGCTCGCACCATCTCGCTCTTCCCCAGGAACTTGCGTTCTTTCCTCACTCGCGCGATCGCGGCTCCCCTCAATTGGATTTTCCCCATTTCGTTTATTTCTTATTACATCCGCTGCCATTCCACTTACGGGTGTCAGTGGTCGCGCGAATTCTCTCCTTCGACCTCTCACCTCGCACGACAGCGGCAACCTTGCGTTCGCACTTTTTTTTCGAACGACGGATTTTTGCGATCTGTGAGAGTGGATTTCTTTCTGATCCGTACTCGCATTCGCGTTCACCCTCCATGCATCAAAGTGTCGTCTCGGTCGTCCGGTTTCTTCTACGATAATGTCCCGGGTTATTTCCACGTGTATCTCTCTACTACCCTCTTTTCTCCTAGTTTTATTGTCGCATCTTTCCTTACTTGTACTTCCGCACGATATCAGTTGGCACATCACATATTCTCGTATCATTTCACATGTCATCCTGTGCGTTTCCCGAGTAATACTATTTCCCTGCTTCTTCCACCCTCTCCGCTAAACGTGCTTTCGCCCTTTTTGCGTTCCACCCCGTGCATCTTCCATACGCTCGATATACAGAGTATTTACTTTTTCTCGAGGTTCTTCACCCCTCCATCACGTCTGTTCTCGAGTCGGCTGCTACTTCCCCATCGCGTCCAACTTCTTGCTCCACATATGACGGCGGTACGCAACTCCATTACAGACAGCAGCTGCGACTTGAAGCTAGCGAGACTTGGCCCCCGGAGCGATAAATAAGCCCGGGGTGGGGAACAAACGCGAGAAATGCTGGTAATGCACTTTTCGAAGTAGTCTATATCATCATCCTCCCGTTGACATAATGCGAGCCGTTTTCCAGCCGGAGGGGCATCTCTTCATAGAACATGAAGCGACATTGAACGAGAAGAGATCGCCGGTATTCAATGTACAATACTATTTTCATTCTACAGCAATGCTTATAAATAGTATTTCTTTTTTCGCGAAAGAGTATGAAAAATGAATATAGGAAGCAATTCAAAACATAGAAAAGTAATAAATACGAGAAATAGCCGACAAAAAATTTTTTTTATGTAAAGCTTCCTTTGAATTTATTAATTGCTTTATGTTACCTCATCTTTTGAAAGAGTGAAAACCAATGTAATAACGATGACACTTTTAGTAAAATAATTCCATGTCGGAAACATCAAAGGTTATAAACTGAAAATTGATCTCGTTGAAACTCCGTGGACAATAGTCAGTGATAAAATCCGCAGACGAGAAACCATTCCGAAAGGTATGAAGATCTCCTATGAAATAAAACTAATCTTGCCAATATAATTCGTCAATTTCCGGAGGATGTATTAGTGGTCATTACTATAATCTGGGTCGCGGCGATCTTCGAACATCCGCTTCGAAAATCAGGATCTCTCGTCGGAACGGCTGCTCTTCTTCTCCTCCTGTTCCACCATCCTTGTCCAGCCACCTTCGTCCATCCCATCACTATTTCACCAACGTATCCAGTGACCTACGTGGATGCCCATCGCGATGATTTACGAGGTAGAGGAACGAACGGACGACCGGATTCTTCTCCATCAAACGCACGAGGAGCGTTGAGCGTAATGGACGGTGGTGACAATATAGCAGTGGTAGTAATAGTAGTAACGTGTTGTAACACGTGGACATCGGGGAATGTTGTAATGGCATATGCATGGTATATTAATGCCGCGCTCTACGCACACTTTCCGCCTCCAATTTAATCCGCAACGCTTTTTCCATCAGTACTCTCACCCTCTGTCTCTCTCTTTTTTTCGTCTCTTCTCTTTTTCTCTCTTGGTACACTCGCTTACATTATAAATGGATGGAAACTCTCTTAACGATGTGCCGGGTCCCTAATGCGAGGAAAAATTGATTTCTTTATACAGCGAATTCCCTACTTACACGCGCCGTCGCATAGCCGACCGTTACTACTTAAACCCTTACGGGAAGAAATTATAAATCTTATTTTTAAAAAAACGGCGGCATTTTCTTAATTGTACTAATATTATCTGTAAAATGTTATTGTAAAAAATTATATGATTTTTATTGGCAAAAATTTCGATTTTTGTAGATATCACACTGAGAAAAAAATATATCTTAAATTTTAATAAATATTTATTTGAATAGTATTATCTAAATATTTATTAAATATAAAAATTTATTTATTTGATACCAAAAACATTAATTTGATTTAATAATCACTTCTTTTTATTAAATATTTATTTATTGTAAGTAAATGTTTAGTTGGCAGTATTCAAAGAAATATTTATTTAAATTTAGGCTATTTTTTCTCAGTACATGAATATTACTGCACGTAATTTTATTAAGATTCCATTTTTTGATATCGCATTTAGATCAAACTTAACTTTAAATCCGAATTACTACGTAACAGTAACGTTATACGTATCGTATCGTAGTAATCGATCTTATCTCGCTAGCGCAAAATTAAATCACGTCTTTCCATTCTGCCTAGTTCACGCTTTCGTGATAGCGGAGGTAGGACGATGAATAATGGCCAAATGGTCATCATTCATCGGCCTTGCCCTATTACGTCGTCTCTTAATATCCCGCCAGATATAATTGTAAACACCGATGTAAACGCGGCCTACCGAACATTCCCGCAAATTTACGTCGTCCTATATACGGGAACGCAAGTCGGCGGTAATCTGCACCGCGGAAGGGTCGCTTGAATTTAATGTTTCCCGACCTATGCGCAACCCCGAACGTGCGCGCCAAACTCTCGTATTGTCGAGTTACTCGTTGGCAAAGTGGCAGCATGGTTATTGTGCAACTTTTGACAACGGGTACTAAATTCGTGCTCCGTTTTCGTGTCTCGCGTTACCACTATGGGATAGAAAGTTCGGACGTGAGTTTTGTGCACACAGAGTGCATCTATAGTGTTGGAGATTCTTACTTCCGATGCAAATCGAAACACACGCATGCGAAAAATACATCAATGTATCTTCAATGCGGTGTATATCATGAGAAAAATCATAATCGAGAAATCTATTTGACAACTGCAGCACTTTCCGCGCAATTCTCAAATACATTTCTCGATATATTTCATATATAAAATTTTATGTATCAAAATAGAAATATATCTACAATGCATATATTGTACATGGTAGAAAACATATCGTTTGCATTGCAAGTTCAACAAATAATTCAATTAAAATCTCATTATTGAATTTGTACGCTTCATTAATCTCTGTGTCCTTTAAATGAATCATTTCCGTTTCGTGCGTGAGAGAGCTCGGAAAAATTACACCTGCAACCAAGCAGAAAATAAAGTTTTACTTAAGGGGTTAAGAATGAGGAACGAGGGCAAAGTCTGGCTCACAGTCCAGAAATATACCCCAATGGAATCGAATCCGTAGTGGTCGATTTACCGATCTCCGTTTCAATTTGGCACAAATATTTTCAACTATGAGTCTTCATTAGTCAACCTAGATTCTCTCAGAAATAGAAAACCGCAATAAGATCACGATACGAAAGAACTTAATGATTTTTGCTTTAAACCTCTCGTAATATGCATTGAATTTCACACTGCTACAATACTTGGTCATAATTTGATAGCTATGTCCTACTTTCGCAGAGATAAATTTGGTTCCAAGCAAAACTTTTTAATTACAAATTTGATAAATGCAATTATACCCACGAATATATATTAACATTTCAAGCTATTTTTTTAAATTTTAATGAGGCCCGAATTAAATTTATATTATTATAACAAAAGGAGAAACTTGGCTCAGATATGAACTAAAATGTGTTTAACTATCATTCTCAATTTGAAGAGAAGGGATCCGGCAGTTAGATAGAATTCCACTGAAGGGAATAGAGAGATTGGGGAAGCTAATAAATAAAATAGATACGTAACAACTCGAGATTCGGTGCGCACTGCAGTAGTAACTTGGCGAGGAAGCCGGGAGGAAATAGCGTGCATAAATCGCGTAGTCGCGGAGTGCGCGCTTCCTCCCCCGCCCTCCCGAAAATTCCCTAGAAGAAATCTCGTGGTTGTTCGCGGGGCGAAGGTCGGGGCGAAAGGTCGTCGATACGCCACTGCTCGTAGTAGTACGCGAGTGTCAGTAGTAAAGCGTAGTAGTAAGTAGTAACGACGTGTACGCAGGCGTACGCACGTTCGGTATCAGCGGTCGGACTGACGGAGGGGGATGAGGAACGAATTTGAGGGCGAAGGGGGAGAAAAGGGATGACGAACGAATGTGGAAAATGAGCGAGAAAGAGAGATCGGAGAGAAGGGTAAACGGGAGGACATTGGAATGGGAAAGAGAGGGCTTGAGGGATCTACGGTAAGGGAAGGGAGCGACGAATGGTGAGGAAGGGTAGGTGAAGGACCCGCGCCATCCTTCCGTGAATCCCGCGATACGATAATCGTTCAATGCGCCTGCGTTTCGCGGTCTCGAAATGAGCGGGTTTGGAAGTGAATTCGCGTATGCGCTCGCGCCTCTCCGATAGCTTGACCGCACACACACACACGCACACACACATACACATACACACATACACGCCGCTATCCCCGCGACTTTACGCGCGTGTGCCCCCTTGTGATCAAATCGATGTGCTTTGGTGTGAGCTTTATGTGTCTCTACCGCGAGATTCGCTCGCGAAAGGTGTGCATCCTTCGATCGCGAGCGTGACGCGGATGATGGTCCTCGCGAAATTGCGTTTCGTCTTTGTTGCCTCGACACACAGACTGAATGCCGGTAACTGAATCAATAATTTTACGAGTCCCGCCTCGTAGCTTAGAACTACAATGATATATCGATTGTAAATCGTAATCTAGCTAGTGGTCGATTTTCGAAAATGACGGAATATAAGATGATGTATGGGATATGAAAAAACGGAGAATTTTCTATTACCACTTAAAAGTGACTTCCAAGCAGATTGCGCATATACTCATAATTATATCTTTAACCCTTTATTATTCGTGTGTCGCTCGAAGACACCTCCTTCTTTCAAAAATTAAAAAAATTTTTTTTAATGTATGAATGATATTTATAAATATTGTTACACACATTGTTATATTTAGTGCAAATTCTTTCACAATTCAAAACAATTTTTTTGCATTTATCTTTATCTAAAAGACGTATAGAATATTATTAATCTTTATTTAATTGTAAACGAATAAAGAAAATTGAAATATAGGGTAATTCTGGAAAATATGCCGCACTGGGATTTACGCCGCAGAAGTTAGGAAAAATAGGAGTGGGGGTAATTTTCCCGCAACTACTGTTACGTGCCTTTATGTTATATTAGTATTGTGTTATGATTTCAGCTTCTTACTTAATATTAATGAATTTATTGTGAGTTGAATCGATTTGTCACTGTAACACCATCATAAATTATAATCTACACAAAACGATTAATGTAGGGCGTGTAAAAGACTTAGTGGTTATTTCGTGATACATACGTGTAATGGAATAGTAAAGCATGTTGTGTAGCAAAATACAAGTGCTTTCGTATTTTTTGTTTAGTTTGTTGTCTTGTATATCCCACCTGTTTGGGATATACGGCATTTTTAGCGAACTTTGGGATTTATGCCCAAAACATACAAAGTGCGCAGATTGAATTCAGTG